GCGGCGGTGGCAGCGGGAGGCCGGGCCGCGGGAGGCAGGCGGGCTTCGTGAGGGGTATCGGTTGAAAGTGCGGCCGGGTGGTTGGGCTGGCGGGGACACGGCCTACTGACTGCCTCGATGCCGTGGGGCTCCCTGAAAGACTGCCAGCCGTGTTGGGGGGCGAAACATGGAGAGAGAGGTAAGGAAAGATGATCGGTCGCAGGAAATGGATGTTCGTTGTGCCTGCTTGCACATGGAATAAACATGTTGGCTTCTTTGCACGGATCGTTGGCCCTCCTAGACCCTCATCGCCAGGGGCTCATCCCTCCTCTGTAAGGGCTACACCTGGGAATGGTCGCTGGACCATTGCGCTGGTAGTGGGTAAAGGTGACAGTTTATAAATGTTGTCAGGAAGGTAGCAATAACAGCACAGTTGTGCAACTCCTGTCAAAAAGGGGGTGTGAAAACGGCTGTTGCCTTAGGTGGAAGGTGCCAGAGGCCTTAGATTTTCCTACTTTTTAGTCAGATAAGGATTACTTGTACTAGATGGCACAGATATAGGTTGGAATCCAGCAGTGAAGTGCTTTGTTCCATTTTAATGGGAATTAAATTTTGAGAGAACACAAGTATTGATTTTCTTGTATATTGTGGGTTAATGCTGATATACTGTGCCAGATAGTAGATGAAGATACGCTTTTGGAAATGAGCACATCAAGTATTATGTGCAACTGTGTGCATAACCTGACTATTGTGCCCACTGTTTTGCTCTTATAAATTAGAAATTGGGATTCCTGACAAACTAGAAACCAATTGTCTTTCGGGCTTTTAGAGATTAAAGACATGTTTTAAATTAATTGGATTCCAGATGTGTTTTTTAAGCATCCTAATGGAACAGTCCTGTAGAACTTGTTTAATATGTACACCAGGCACAATCCTGTCTAATATGAAGAATAGTGGGTGTGATGGAGCTGGGTAAGATTCAAGAGGCCCAATGTTGTTTGTTTATTGAAAGCAAGTCCCTCTAAATATGATGGAACTAATTTCTGAATAACTGCAGTTAAAACTCATCTACTTTATTTTTCATGGTTATGTAGATAGCCAATTCAGACTCTCAACCTAGAATCTGTGGATCTGGGAATGTTGCAGTAGGGAACCATTCCCTATTGCACGAAACTTAGGCAGCCAAACTTCCATCTGAACAATGACTTGAGATGAAGTTCAACTGCAAAGACAGAGAATATAGAAAGGAAAGTGCTAAATGGGCAGGGTTGGAAGTTTACCTTGAACTTGTGGAAGGCTGCAGTTGAAAAATGGGAGAATTCTCAAAGAAGTAGTACTTAGTTTCACTAAAAAAAAATCACATGCATATCTCCCAGGCATCATTGGCAGGAATGCAAGGAACACAAATACACTCCAGAGCTAATTACTGTATTGCTGAACATGATGTTTAATAAATGCTACCGTGTTTCCCTGAAAATAAGACAGGGTCTTATATTAATTTTTGCTCCAAAAAAACACATTAGGGCTTATTTTCAGGGGATGTTTTATTTTACAGTCATGTCATCTGGTTGCTGCATAGTGGTGGAGGGTGGGGTTTCACTTAAACTAGGGCTTATTTTGGGGGTAGGGCTTATATTTCGAGCATCCTGAAAAATCATACTAGGGCTTATTTTCAGGTTAGATCTTATTTTCGGGGAACCAGGGTAGCTCATATAAGCTGTAAGGAGACTAGTAGCCGCCATCTTAGCTGGGACGCGAGAATGGGCTGTATTTCTCAGAAATTAGGTAGCAGAATTCAATAATTTAGCAGTATTAAATGCAAAGTTTAAAGGAAGGTACAGTTTAAGAATTATGTTAAGAGATTCATTTTAAAGACATACTTTAGCAGTGGCTAGAATTGCAAAGGTACACAATAACTGAACTTTACAGATTCACTGAGCTTTAGAATTTCTGGATTGTATTAAAAGGGGATTTATAACTTAAATGTTTTTACTCAGAAATAAGGCCTATTAAATCAGTGGGATTTTTTGTTAACTATCTATTGAATTGCAGTCTTAAATGCTTCAGTTTATTGAGAGTTGATTTCCAAAGAAATAGCTATTTTAGTCTGTTTTAGCATGATGACAAAACAATAAAAGGAAAGGGAAAAAGAGCAAAATATAGTAGTATTTTAAAGAAGAACAGTTTTATTGGCATTCCTCACCTGCTCAATGAGGAAGTGGATTTTGATCTGCAAAAACTCACACTGAAATGAATTCGCCTTTAAGCTACTGCAATATCTTTCTTTTTTGTATTTTGTTAACATGCTGAGTATTAATGATGGTGAATTCCCCTTATATCCTTAAATCTACACGCAAATATTTGTATGCTTTTAGAGTTTACATTGAAGGAAATTTGGCAAATATAATGCTTCTGTTTTAACCCTGTTATAAATAATAATGTATCTTTTTGTTAGGAACTCCTTAGCCGGGGACTGTGTTCAATGGCAAGATGTCTGGCACAGATAAAGGCTGCATAAACTGGAATAAACACTTGAAGTTCAAAGTAAACACAGTGGTACCATGGGTATTCATAGGTTGGGAAATGTTTATTGCGTAAAATGAAATGCAGAGGTGGGAGAAATGAAAAGACTCATTTTTCATCCAGTATACCCCTGACACTCTTTTAAGCTGACTATCCTGTTGAAAGGGAACCAGGTTTAGGAAGGAACTACTCTAAGGAATGGATAGCAGGAGTATAAAGCAGAGAAGACTTCTGTTCCTTTCATGAAAAAAAAGTCACCCCCACTCAGCCATTGCTTTATGCGTGAAGTGGGTAGGCATGTGAATAATAAATACATGGCCTTCCACTTGCATCCAGTTTAGCACTGGTGTTTCAGTTGTAAAACCATGAAGTGTTTGTCCTGTTCAGAAATTGTTTGCCTTCACATTTGTGTATGTAGCAGGAAGGAGCTTGCTCACTCTAATAGATTTAGAATTCTTCTGTATTTGCATTTTTAGGGCTATAGATATCAAATATGAATCTGAATTCGATATAAAACATAAGTTTCTTGTTTTATAGGTTCCTTAATTCATAATGAATCTTCACTGCCTTGCTCTTTATGTTCCAAATTGTTTCAGCATTATTGACTTTAGAGATAATTCAAAGGAAGTAAAACCTTTTGGAGAACTTGTGAGAACATAAAATGCAGGGGGAAATTCTTTGTAATGGCTGCTCTAGAATATTTAAAGCATTTATTGCAGGTTTTTGACGGCTGTAACATGAGAGAGTATTGCTTTTAGGTATACACAAGGAAATTCTTGTAAACCAGAGAACAGTTAGTTCTGGTTTTCACTATTCATATTTTTCAGGCTTTAACTAGAAAATTGCTCTATGTGATCTTAGGCCGAGTATTATCTAATTAGCTAATCTGATTTGTAGATATTGATGGAAAGTGTAAGAAAGCTGTGTATCCAACAACATTTGATGAAAGGGCTAAAATGTAACACATGGTAATATTTAGACATCTCAGTATCAGCCCTACTCAGCTCTTCCAAACTCAAAGCTGTGATTCCTTTTTTGAGTTAATCCATCCCATATTTGGCTTCTTTTCCTATTGCCTTCAGCTTTTTCCAGCATTATTGGCTTTACCAGTGAGTTTTGTCTTCTAATGTTGTGACCTTAGTTCAATCATTTTTGCTTCTATGGAGAGTTTAGGGTTAATTTGACCTAGAACCCTGTTAGTTCTCATTCTTGCAGTCTATGGTAGCTGAAAAGCTCTCCTCCAGCATCACATTTCAAGCATCAGTTTTGTTTCTGTTAGCTTTCTTCACTGTATGCCTTTCACACTTGTATATAGAAATGAAGAATGCCATTATGTAGATGTTCTTCATCTTGGTCTTCAGTGACAAATCCTTGCATTTGAGCATTTTCTTTAGTTCTTTAATAGCTGACCTTCTGAGTTTCAGTCTTCTTCTGATTTATTGTTTGTAGGCTCCATTTGGGTTGATGGTTGAACTGAAATATAGAAAATTGATTTGTTCATTAAAGGCATTAAAGTTATATCATTTTTCTGTAGATAGTAGTTTTGTCATGAAATTCAACTGCAGTCCTTATGCAATTTTGTTCTTTAACATTTATTGGGAGTTGTTTCAAGTCAGTGCTTTTTGCCACTGTTATGGATGGTATCATCTGTGTGTATTAGATCATTGATATTTTTTCCATTCATGTTCACGTTTTCCATGTTTTCTATCCATCTGAATTGAATTCACTTTCTGAATAACGTGTTCTGCATGTGGATTGAAAAGATAGGGAAGTAAATACACTCCCGTTTGATATTTTGATTA